ATTTTCTGTGCTTATACAATCCGTTCATATGTACTTTCTTCTTTCATGATCGGAAGACAATTATTAAAAATACAGCTGTAAATTGAAACACTGTAGTTGCGTATTGTGAGCAATAAGTGGCAACAATGTCGAGCGACAATGAATTATGGCAATTGACACATTGCCATGAATACACTTGATAACTGCTTGCAGACTTCCAGTGGACTTTATTTATGTCTGGACTCTTGAAACAATAGCAAAATAAAGGGTTTGGCAACTCCTCTTATTTTGGCTTGGGAAGAACAATGCAAGCTTTTTACAAATAATTTCAGCTGGGTGTACGTTGGTGGGCGGGTATTGAGAGTAACTAGGTGGCCGTAAAACTTGATAGGCGGGCCGCCCAGCTAAAGCCCCTTGTGGAGAACACTGGACTTGTGACATAGATCTTCTAGGACTATTCAGAGACCGGATTAGTTTTTGGGGTAAATAGTTGTGCATATTAATTACCTAATTTGCATAATTTTTTGCCGCTCCATGGCTGTTGCACTAATGTCTAAAGAACCACTCATCATCACATTTCAATGAACCTAGGACTATATACCATATTAGTTTTTGGTAAATATTCATGCTTCTTAGGACAATAGACAGCCTGATTAATTTTGGGTTAAAATCTGTTATTAATTCTCTAATTAGCATAATAATTTTATATTTTTTTGGTTCTAAACACATAGATATTACATTACGTAGATCTTATTACTTTTACATTGTGCAGACCTTATTAGTTTTACACTTAAATCTGTTCATATTATTTACCTTATTTGCATAAGCTTTTCCATCAATATCTCAAGTTCAAGCATAGACCCAGAGGGTCTACATGTATGGTTCAAGTAATTTTGAATTAATTTTTAATGTGTCTCCAATACTCTCAGCACACAGGAGTTTTTTCTAAGCTTTCTTTTATTTTTATTTTTAATTAACTGAGCATTTTACGTTTGTGTATTTTGCCACTGAAAATTTAGTGATTGATGTCAGATAGGTGATCGTTACAGCAAAACGAAAAATGTACACAGTATTCCCCTAGAAGTTGCTACTTGTTGCAAAATGAGGGTGAAAAAGTTTTATCATTTACAACTGTATGGTTTTTATTCATCTTGCATGCTGGAAGCGTCTACGTCTTGTCTGTTTTTTTTTGTAGTTTGCGAGGCTAGTTGATAGGGCTTGAGGTAAGCAGACAGGGTCCAGGACAGGAAGTCACCCATCTTCAATTCATTTGCATATAACATCAACAGTGACTTGTCAATCAAAGAGCAATGTAAACAAACTTGCCTTGGTTCCCTATATTTAAATTTTTTTGAGTATGTTCCAGCATTGACAATGCTCTGAAATTTTAACATTATCAAGCCAAGACTGTCTAGCCAAAAAAAAATGTTTTAACTCTGAGTGCCTACAAACCTGCTGCCACCAACCAACTTATTTATTTATTTATTTATTAACACACAACATCCCCCGGAGGGGATGAAAAGGGTTACAAATCAGATATTAGTAAAAGAAAAATAACCACATAAAGAGTAAGGAACAAAAA